AGTTTTGTTTAACGGCAGCAAACAGTCCCAGCTGCTGTTCTCCAGCTCAAACTGCCTGCTTCATGAACATTAAGTAAAAAATAATCACACAATGCTTTGTTTCCGACTAACTTTCTGTGCTTTTTTTGGTAAATAAATATATGGTACAACAGACCTTTATCCCATTCATAAAAAACAACAGAAATTATAAATACTAAATACATATTCTAATGCCAGCTAAACCAGCCAAGTCTGCAACTATCTGGATCATTTTCAGGCAGTTATATGGAATAAAATCAAACTTTATAAAGGAGTCAAACTGACCAAAAGACAACAGGAGGGTTTAAAAGGGAAGCAGCAAAGATCTAAATGTCACCTGTATCACAAAGTCTTTGTCTTTTCCTTTCCTCAGCCCCTGCCACTCCCCCCAGCCTCCCCTCTTCCTTTCCACTGTGGACTCCAGAGACTTCAGTTGCACCGGGAGTGGAATAAGTTTCCTTTCCACCGCCTGCCTCCGCCCCCTTACTCTGGAAAAACCCCTGTTCAAGTAAAACTGAGCTTCCAACTTAGGTTTGCTCCAGTGGGCCCACATTCCTAGACAGTATCCCCAACACTGGAACAGTTTACTGCCTCGGCCAGGAATGCTGATTTCCAGCCCAGATCTTCATCAGATCCAGTCGAGGGCGGGAATGCTACAGATATTCACCGACCAACATTAGTCATTGTCCAACACATACTTTCCCTCTGTGTCCGTCACTATATAAAGAAGCACTGCTTCCCTTGCTCCAAGAATAACAGACCTATGAGGAAATGCTGAAAAATAAATCAGATTTTCATCCAGATTCAGATATTTGGTTTGTTTTATCAACATTTTCCAAATTCCTGAGAGCAGACCTGTTGGTTTAGGTGCATTGTGCCCCACTTTTTGTTTTTGAGTTTCACCATTAAGGTCCCTCACGTTAGTCTTTTTGCCAGAGATGGTAGGATTTTAGAACAACAAGCCCGTGGCTGGTCAAAAATGCTCATCCAGACAAAAAAAAAAAACATTAAAACTGTCGGGTCCACATTGGAGGCATGATGAACTGAAACTCTACACTCAAAAATAGGTTTTAGAAGCTTATTATTTCGCCCTGTGAAGGACTAGCGAGCTTTCCAGGGTGCACCCCCAAAATAAGCAGGTATAGAAAACGGATGGACAAAAAAAGAAAACAGATCACTCTGCTGGACAATATTGACATAAAATGTAGAAAATGGCCAGACGGTTTCAGTTGTTAGCTTGCTAACAGAGTATGTGACCACATATGATCACAGATCTGCACAGATCTCTGGCTCTAGTCCTTAAAAGCTACGCTGTGCTTTACTTTGGGGTTTCTGTTTGCACAGTCAGTAGAAAAACAACCAGATCACACAGCGGTGAGGCAACAAAGAAGGGGACCTGGAGGATCCACCACGATGAAAGTCATTTCCAACTAAGAGCATGACACAGGGCGAGTCCTCATCCAGAGACACAGCTGAGCATGGAGCCCCTGCCCGCCTGCTTTCTGCTGAGAGGGCTGTCGGCAGTCAACCACGCCACATGGAAATGAAGCTAGTCATTCAGAACACCAGGCCCAATGTCCTGTACCAGCTCCACCCGTTACACTTAGCCTACACCCTGAGTGTGACCGTCCATATGTCATCCCCAGACAGAGCTCACTATTTAACTCCGACTTAAGATTGTCTGAAAAGAGGTTTTGTTCGCCTAATGGGGGAGGGAAAACAGAGTATCACCCCCTACCAATAGTCTCAGAAATGTGGCTCCATGCTGGTTTATTAAAAAAATGTTATAATTGTTCATTGCTGTCTAAAATGTACTTAGTGTATCCTCTTATGTGGCTTTGGATTAAAATGTCTGCGAGATGTAGAAATAGAAGTATAAATACAATATTAGACTAAATATGAGGATCTTCATGGCAGCATACAGATAAGCAGGAAAAAAAATAAACCTGATAACGATTCCTGAACTGCAATATGGTAAAAGAGGCGTGTAGGAAAAGTTTGGACAGAGGAACTCTCCCATGTTGATTTTGGGTTGAGTCTGGAATGAAAGCTTCACGTAAACAGAGTTGTTCTAAAAGAAAATGGAAAAAGTTTAGAAGAAGCACAATCTCCCGACAGAGATCCCCCAAAAAACACACAGAATTAAGAAAAATACTAATATAACACATGAAAAACAAACCTCAGTGAGTTAGGGATCCCATTTAAAAAATCTGCCTCTAAAGGAGATCCAGTCACATCACTTGCTGGGTGCAAATACAAGGCAGCCTCTGAGCTGCACAGAGAAGTAGGTCACTCTGAATTCCATTCATTTGTACACTACTCTCCAAATAGTTGCACTTCTTCACTCTAAAACTTCCAGTTGTACGTTAACCTTTAAACAGCCGTCTCAACATCCAGCAGGGGCTGTGAAAAGCAAATTAAACGTGTTACAACTCAGAATTTGTTCAAGGGGCTTCCATGGTAAAAAGGATTTCAAAAGCCTATTGGGGGAAAAAAGTGCTGAATTTCTCATTAGTAACTTATAATTACAGCTTTATTGATACTGTCTGCCACAGTCAACATTTTCCTTTAATTGTTTCGGAATGCGACGACAAAAAAAAAAAAAAAAAGCAGCGTTTATATGGATGTGGACAGAAATAACTAAACGCTGGTCAATACTCCAAAAAGAGAAATCAATTAAATAGCAGCCTTGTCGGAACAGCAAACTGATAACTCAGCCTAACCCAGCACCGGAGCACATACCAGCAGGATCACGTAACTACACAAGCTTCCCTCTGTTCTGCGTGGAGTCCACAGCTCTGAAACAGGCCTCCGATTTCATCTGATTTTTGCTGAATCAGCCGACAGGAAGAGACCACAAGTTGACACAGGTAAAGGAAAACAGCAGGGTGTGGCCTAACAGGCACTCCTGAGGTACAGAGCGTAGAAAACTGAGCATTTATTCCCCTGGAGCAGAGGGAGATGCACCACACATGTAAATAAACACCTCTATTACTTGAGGACTTTCATTCCACTACAGACATATTAGAGAAGTGTGCCGTTAGAGGTGTTGAGGCACAGAGTGAGCACACTGGACACGTCTTTTCTCTTACTAAACACAATCTTACTAGATTTCAAGATGCGTCTGCTGACTACTTTCGAACAGACATACAAAACAAAACATGGAATTATCGTGCTTACATAGCAAATAGCTCACATACCAACGTTTCTACGACATTAAAACCAGACAGGTATGCAGGCAGATCAAAAAGGTACTGTGTGCGGATGAGACTTGATTTAAATATCAAACGAGACCATTTTCTTTCTGAAAGGTTTTGCGAGATCCAGCTAGGCTGTTTTATCTAACCCCTATTTGCATGTCCTCGGGCACAGTCCGATTATTGAAAGGTGGACATTACCTGCCCCTACAGAGGTGGAGAGTTTGAGCCCATCCAACTGTTTTACTCTGGTTTCTGCTTTGTACCCGTTTTATTAATCCATAACAGAAGCAGTGCTGGGGTTGGGGTTATGGATATCCCTTAAAAGGCCCTTTTCCTGTATTGAAGTTAAATTAAAAAGCTTTTAAGAAACAATAATGACTTCACAGAATAGCATCAGTGTGATACTGACACTGCAAAGCATCCGAGATGAGGACGGCTACACACATGCCTGAGCTGCAGTCTGATTGGTCGACAAGGGAAACTAAGCATGGTGGGCTTGCTAACTACACTGATGGCTGTAAGGGTTGGTAAGAAAAAAAAACATGACTACTACAACTACTACTGGAAAAGGTACAACAATATCTGTGGAAATTAGGAAGATTTGTGTACAAGTCAATGTATTTCTGCTGATGTTTTGATTAGTGTTCCTTCTTTATGGTTAAAGCTAGCCTGCTCCAGACTCATCAAAAGAGCCTGGAAAACCTGTTGTTGAGCAATAAGACGTCACCCTCTCCCACCAGCTCCCCTTTGCCTCTAATCTGCTCTGATCTCTGGCAGAACGAACAGGCTTCACTTTGGTGGAAGTCTTTTGACAAAAAAATCTATATATTTATTTTAAAAGTCGGCTTTACCTGCTCTGACTGCAGCCCAGCAGGCCCGGAGCGGCACACATGCAGATGCTGCCACAGGAGCACACAGACGCCGGCTCTCCATCGCAGCAGCACTTCATTCTATTTTTCATGAGCCCAGTCGGTTGCCAGGGTTTTTGTTACCATGGCCACGCTGCAGTGTGATGCAACGAAACCTAGCTAGAGCCCCCCCCCCCCCCCCAACCCTTAGGTGGTTTGGCAAGGCACCAAGGCGAGGAGGAGGACAGAACTTCAGGATGACACACTGACCGTCCAGCCACAGTCCCAGCTCAGCCAGCCCCATGGAGGCTCTTCCCAAAGTCATTTCCAGGTTTCATCACCGGGCTTTGCTCTAATCACATACCACCAATGACACAGAGGCTCATGCCTCCAGATGGATGTACAGCTGTGGCTAAGACAGGAAATGTCCTCGGTTGCTTGGGTGCTTTTCTCTTTGTAACAAACTGGGGAAAGCGACTGAATCTCATAACAGAGAGAAGATTGAGTCGCTTTAAAGGAAAGAATAGCTGAAAAATAGCTGAACACTTTTGTTATTGCCCATTATAGCCGTTTATGTCAAACAGTTAAAGCTCTTTCTGATAAGAAGTGTGAACTTATCAATTCAAAGTCAGAAAGAGATGACTGAAGTAGAAAAAAAAGTGACTATGGAGTAACTTGAATTTCGTCTTAATAATTATACTGTAAAATCTTTGTATTTTTCATTCTGTCAGACAGATTTACTTAAAATGCCTCAAACTGGTTTTGGCCAGTTGTTCTCTGGCTATCTGAACACATGACAGAGCCTGTCTTTGGACAGTGGCTTAATCCACAGAGGGACCTAAGACAACTTAGCTCAGAACCATGGATAAATGGATGGCGGTTCAGCTCTTGTGCCTGGTGTGCTGAGGGTGTTCTGAGCTGCCGGGAGTCCTACCTGGACTGTTGGCTTCTCCCTCCAGGACCTGCAGCTCGGTGCACTCTGCCAGGGAGTGCTCCAGACAGAGCTGCAGGAAGCGGGCCTGGGTCCGGCTCACCCTCTTCAGCAGGGAGAGCAGAGCCACCGTCTGCTCGCACTCGTTCCATCCCTTGAACCAGCTGGCCAGAACGCCCACCTGATCACGAAACATCATGGTCTGAGAGCCGGGGGGAGGGCGGACTGACTGAGGTGGGCCGGGCTGACTGGCTGGGCTTTCTGGTGCGGCTCAACTTAACAGGTGGTCTCGGTGGTCGAGCAGCTCTCTGGGGTGCTTGTCAGGGAGGTTAGTCAGTGAAGATCAGCCAAAGCACAGCAATACCATTCTTAGCTTTGTCATTATTAGCTGGGACAGTGGGACACCAGCTTCAAAACCGCGCTTAGCCTGCAGCTGCTGTTGAATATATTCCAGCTGGAGGGGTTTCCACCACCTTCTCCTGTCTGATAATCCCCTTTGGTGAGAGCCAGGGGGAGTGAGGTGCTCCTCTAGCAAGGCATTAGCTGATCTGAGCTGCTTTTGGCTGCTTAGGCGATCTCCAAGGGATTGATATTTGATGAGTCAGCTTTCTTCCGGCTCAGGCTGTGTCACATCAGCTCCAGCCTCACTGGCATTTTTCTTCTTCAGGGAATCCCTCTTAGGCCTGCAGGAGAAGAGGAGGGATGCTTTTTAAACAGACAATCATCTCCGTGGCTTGTTGGTGTACTTATCTTCCCCGCTTTTGTCCCATTTCATCTACTTTTGCGGTGGGGGGGACGGAAGAAATGCGACAGCTTCCCCAGCTCTGCAGACTTTGTGCTGCAGTGGGACAATTTGGACTAAAACAGCCTCCATAAACTTACACAACCCTTTATAGACAGATTCCTCGCTCTCTCCTATGCGCATAGGCTTGTGGCATTCACCGCCGAGATAAAAATAAAAAAAAATGTTTTGGGTATCCACCCATTCCTAAAAATACAGCCGTCCGTACTACTGGCGCTGCATCCCGGAATTTTCCAAAGGACGCCGGGTTAGCGGCGGCGGCTGTCGGCACCACGGCGGGGCTCAAAACGCCTCTGGGGCGACCCTTCTCCGGGATTTCAGTGGCTGCTCGCAAATGCCGGACCCTAAACCGACTGTAGTTGTGAGTTTTGGCCGAGGAAAGGCGGAAGAATAAGCTCCGGGGCTCCGGAGCTGGGAGCTAGCCGCCGTCTAAAACTGTCACTCTGCTTCATCAGCACACAGCCGGTGACCGTTGGCGGATATGGACGTGTGTAGGGGGGGCGAGGGGAGGTGGGGGGGGGGCTAGTCGGTATAGGAATACATACAAAAATAAGTTTAAAAATATCCGTTTCGTGTCTACGGCTTTTCCGTGAAATATCTGTCCGGCGAATGAGACTTTGCTCAAAGTTGCCGCTAGCGGAGAAAAGCTTCCCGGCACCGTTAGACAAACACCAACGGCTGTTGATTCCCTCTGACGGTTAACGTGAAACTAACTCACTATTTCACCTAATTAACCCCTTATTTCCGTGAAAATACGTTAAAAAAACATAAAAAAAACTTTCCTTCTTAAAATGTGTAAAGTGGACGGAACAACGCAAACGTTTGTTTTAAGTTAGCAACTTAAATGTTTCAAAATGTCCCCCCCCCCCCGGCCACCCAGAAAAAAAACGGTTAATTAACGGTTCCTACCTGCCGGAGCAGTTCGCATCGTTGGGTTTTGTGGAGACGGGGAACAGTCTCAGCTTTTTGGGGGGAGCGGCGCCCCTTTCACTCCGGGTCCACAGGACTTACCATCTTGACTAACTTTTCCTCTGTCCCCCTCCTGCAGATGGGCTCTCCTATTCTAAAACACCACGGTCAAGCGGGACCGAGCACAGGCAACCACTTCCGCTTCAGGTTTTCAAAACAAAGGCGTTTCCATCTATCTATCTATCTATCTATCTATCTATCTATCTATCTATCTATCTATCTATCTATCTATCTATCTA